ATTTTCTAGTCGTTAATGGAGGAAATACATTTTTATACGATTCCTCTCCAATTCACACTCATTTTTAAGCTGCAATTTTACTTTATTATTTCAAGCTAATGAATTTGGTTATTTAGCTAATAGAGTGTCTGAGAAAATTGCAGTAATTTTGTCAAAATTTTGATTTTGACAGTGCATCTGCATACATGTGCAACTACGATTTTTGTCCTGAGTGGGTCTATGATTTTCCATTGCCAATGTGATTACTGATTAGGATAACTCCATGTCTGCCAAGTGATGTGTGGGTGAGCAGTAAGCATAACTGTTAACTGTGATTTTTGGATTGAGTGATAATTTTATCGTTCATGGCTGCAATAGCAAATTTCCATGGCAGGGAAGAATAAGCTCATTTGTCGTAGCTGTAGGAAACGCTTGAATATTTGTCCCGTGTATTGAAGAGTTTGGTTCAAATAAATGAACAAGAGGAAGTGAAAATCTCATTCAATGTTACGATCCTCAAGAGATGAGAACAAGAAACTCGAGAAAAGCTTCATGAAATTAGACCGCATACGTTGTTGATTAAAACAATGTTATCTTATTCGTCAAGTTTGTTCCAATGTTATCGTATTCGTCAAGTTGGACCAATGTACTATACTCCGGCAAGTGAGGGGGGAAGCAAACACTACTACCACCACATAAATCGAAAACGCAGAATTAAAAGCAAAAAAAAAAAAAAATCATTTCTTCAAGATTTGTTTCACAACAAACTTCCAGAGTTGATTATACAATCTTCATCAACATCGAAATGAAAGATCTGTTGGCCCTTTTTCCGGCGAGCGTCAAGCAAAACTGCAAAATCCTTTCGTTATTCTCCCCACTGCTGATCTGACACAAGTAAAAGCAATATTAGCAACTAGCCAAAGAAATGATTCCATTGTGAAAAGAGCATTGACCTCACCTAGCAGTTATGCAGATTCAAAATTTATTAGAATATAAAAGAACTGGAATATACAGAGCCAATAATTTGAATATATGGTGCATATTAAACTTCAGATATTAACATCATAACGAGGAAAGTGGAATAATTTTGTGCTATGATTGGTTTCGATTTGGGGATATGTAATTGGGAGAAATGGATTCACGGTCACGAGTTGGTTATGGGGAAATTGATTTTTCATGGGTTTTACACTCTAATTGGTAAAACCATGTTTGGATGTGCCTTTGTTGACATGGAAGCCGTGTTGGTAAACAACTTACCACTTGGAAGGAGTTAACCGGCCACATCATTTTTCCATCTATCATGTCAGCATGTCTACTAACGATTTTCATCGGATGAGTGATGGAGTAGGATGAAGCGAAGTTCAGTGGCAATGAAACAATTAATGAAATTCAGTGAGTAAGCCGTGACCTGGTATAAAATTAAGTGGCCAATGAAATATTTAACTCGGGGAAATACTGTTATTATTTTGTCCTTGTTTGGTATGGGATAAAAATCAGATTTTTGGTTAATTCTAATAAAAAATAATAAAATTTGTGATTAAAAAGTTTTAGATTCCATAAAATATGTAATAAAAATTAATTATCAACTTTAACTTAAATTAAAACCTGCATTTTAATTTCCACCAAATTACGGGACTTGCTTTTTAATCAACATTTTCCTACTCGAGAAAAGAATTTGAAGAAAGAAGAGGTAATGTAATTGGTGCTTCAATCTTGCCTATAAATCCATCCAATCACAAAATTCAAGAAAAAGTCTGAAGAGGTACAAATCTAAAATGAATCATGCTCCTCTACCAGGCCTGTATAAGGCCTGGCAGAGCAAATAGTGAGATGGGGTGGGTGGATGTTTTAATATTTGGGGGGGTTTTTTTAATGAGTGCTCAACTATGCCAGGCCTTTTACAGGCCTGGCATAAGAGCTTAAATCATCTGAAATTGTTAGATCAGATATGGTGCCTTAAGAGGTAGTTATTGGAGTTGTTGATGATGGTGGCACTGGATTGAGATGGATTTTCAATGACAGTGGACGGCGAGTCTACGATTGTGAGAAAGAAATATGGAACTTAGATTGAAAAAGCAGTAATTTTGGAATTATTGAAAAAAAAATTAATGTTTTGAATAGTGATTTTTTGGAGAATGTATCTTTAAATATAGTAAAAAAAAATTGGGTTTACGTCTAAAATGTTTTATTGTTTAAAATGTGATTAAAAATGAGTATGAAAATTAAAAAATTTTGATTTAAAGGAAAACAATATGTGGCTTAATAGTAATGTTGAAACAAAATTATTTAAAGAGTATTGGGTGTTATTATTTCTAATTTTATTTTATTTTTTGAAATCAAAATGGTCTTTAA